GCTATGTATACTCATAACACATACAAGCAATACCAATTAAACTTTTAGTTACGTAATCGAGGGCGTGGTTTTTAAATTCATTGTTGCCAACCATGGATATACCCTATGGATTGAGGATTCAGGTAGCTCTGCTGTAAAAAATGTCAAGGTGCGGTCATTTATTTATTTCTTTCCTGACATTGTCATTCCCTTTGACATTTTAGTTTTGTATTACGAGTTTTTGGTTTAAATGAATTGTGTTGTGATCCTTTAAGCTTAATTTTTTTTACTAGCAGACCTTGCAGTCGAACATTGTTCTCTTTAGAATCTTTTTTAGTGCGAAGTGTACAAGATAGCTTAATAGCCAATGCAAAAAATTCATTGCTACCTTATTAGAATATTTTGAACGGGAAAGCCGTAGTAATGGCAAAGTAAGTGCTGTTAAGGAGATGAGTTTTGTTGATGTAAATAATAACTGTTAATATATTTATAGTTAATTTATTTTTGTCCCCTAAAAAAATATGTAAAAGTGGGCAACGCTGTGGCGTTCAAACTTAATCACGTGACTAAAACTTTAATTGGTATGAACTATAGCTTGGTTAGTCTTTGGAAATTATCCGTATAGAACATACGTCAATAGAATATAGATGTCTTTTTAACTGAGAGCTTTTTATTCTAATTCTTAAAACGGATTTTTTTTCAGTCAACGATCCCATCCCCAAATCGAATTTTGTTTTTTGACCTCGAATACTGCCGACTTAGGCCGATAACAATCGAAGGAAAACAAAATCGGCGCCGAAGCGGTTTCCTTGGCCAAGGTTACGAAGGAGTTGGAGTATGAGAGCAAATCGACAACAATAATAACATGGACGAGAAAGAGGAGGAGGATTTTTCTTGGGCGATGATGATTTTATAATCCGTTGGAAAGTTCGTTCGTTCGTACAACGGTTGTCCGTGGCGCAGGTCTGTCAAGCGGGAAAATTTATGCGACTAGACGTGGACAAAGTGTAAAAACGCGAGCGAATCGGTCGCCGATCGCTGTTGCCAGGTGTCGGAAATATTAATAAGGCAGGGGAAACTGGGTTTTAATTATAAGAGAACAGAAAAGAATAGTTTCATAGTAATTTATTTGCTCAAAAACTTACTTCGTTACTTTACGATTTTTATTTAAGAAAATATAGTTACGTTATTAAATAATCGCACTGTCCAAACCACCGCCGCGCCGGCGGTAATGTTAGTGTATACAAAAGAATACCGTCATCCGGCGGTATGATATTTTTATATCTGTAAATGCCGGTGGAAAATTGAATTAATTTGTCGTTGAAAGCGTCATGCACTTAAGAGACCATTACGCTGTACTTTGTGGTCGCCCTCGGGGTCGGGTAAAGCGGGTGTGTGGCCGAAGGAAATATATTATATTATATTTCAGAAATTTGCCTAAGGCTTAGCCCGATGCTGTCGTGTTAAGCCACACTCAAAATTCCAAACACACGTGCTTTGATTAAGGTTTGATTTAGGTTTGCAGAGCTTTAGCATTTGCTATAAAATAGCGAGCAATTTGTTACAAAACCATATAAATTATATATATCACTGCAAAACTTCATCAATTTCCATATTGTAACTGAATTTTAAATTATAGCTTTATCTTCCATAAAATATAGTCCAAACATAAGGAACATTTTGTTGATGTTTGACCATCAAAATCTTAACTAAGAAGTTGTCTAAAAATGTGCTACAATACGGATTATCTTTAATTTCCTTCATTTGTGTAAAAATACCTAGCCAGTTTTACATAAAACGTTAAATGCCGAACGCTTATTTTGCTACTTTTTCGGACTAGTGAAATGGACTCTTAACCAGGCAGACGAAGACGAAGAAGCAAGCCTTTCGACGACTGTATTTTAAACAGAAAATACCGCCGAACTGATAACAAAACCTAGTAACTTTGCATTTTCATTTTTTGACTTGAATTGAACTGTCTTTAAAATTTGATAGTTAAAAAAATGGTAAAACATTCAATTTTAAAATCAAAATATTCAAAGCTATCAGATGCGCATTAGATAATCGAACAGAGAAAAATGCAAAAAAGAGTGAAACCAAAGCAATTAAAACACACTTACAGCGTGTTTTGATTGCTAGAGCTAGACTTAGGTTAGTACCTACAGCTAACTTAGGTACTTAACTTTACAGTCTACCGACCGCCAAATCAATACTGTTTTGAGTCCTTCCATTCTGACCAACTCATTCTGAAATTATGTAGATGTAGATTGTATAGGAGGGGCGCTGTGTTAGATTTGTTCGCAGCCCGGAAAGCCTACACCAAATCCGAATAAATCAACAGTTTAAAGAATAAACTAGGCAAAGGTTTGGAACTAAAGGCACGGTACCTATTAAGCACATGGAAGTGACAAAAATAACTGAACAGGAAGAAACAACAATAACTGGAATCCTGCATCATTAATTTCTCTCTCGTTGCTCTTAAGAGCCCTAGTCAATTCCCTATACGTGTAGGTCGGTTGGCATCGCCATAAACAAACAAACGGAATCATAATGTGGACCCGATAGTAATCAAAATTAAATAATTTTTTTAAAATTATTTGTCAACAAATAAAAGATACAAGACTAAAAAAATATTAAAAATTAAAGAAACATAATATAAAAGAAGCAAAAAAATTCGTTTAGTTAAAATCGAATGAAAACTAAAATAAATAATACACAAGTAGGTATATTGTATAAACAAAATAATTAACAGGTGTAGATAAAACAACCACAAAACTTCAATGTGGCAATATCAATAATATCAATACTGACAATATTGCCATAACAATAACTCTGTACAAGGAAGAAAAAAGATTTTTGAGGGAAATTGAAGGACAATCGACATCGAACGCAGCAAGTTTTATGGTACGAACATGTGCGGAGAATAAATGATACCAGACTTCCAAAACAAGTTATGAAATGGATATCTTAAAACTGAAGAAAGAGTGGAAGACCCAAGAACACTTGGAAAAAGGGTATATCAATGGCAGTGAGTGCCAGTAATCTAAATGAGGGCCACTGGAATGACCAAATGACGTAGAAGTTAGGCATCGGATAAACGTAAGACGTTCAAAACCGATATAATATATATTTATATCTCTCAACATGCAATATTTTGATTTGATTTGAAAATTGACAGATCGAAAAAAAATTAAATTGCAGAAAGATGTACACAGTAGAAAATGTAATCCAAATATCATTAATTCAAAATATCAAAACGTATCTTCATAGTTTTCATATTATAACATCATCCAAATGTAAAAAAAACATATTTCTTGATGGCAACGTTGTAGCAGCTGATGGTGCCCACGTATTTGGTTTTGGCACAGAATTCCGATCCGATTTGTGCGGCCGTATATTTTCAACCGGAATGAGTCCGTTAATTGTTCGTAAATAATTGTCACGGCGTTTGTCTGCTACTACGGTCACCGCAACGGTTAAATATTTTTGGAAAAGGATATCCGATCGTCTGAGCGTTGTTTGGGTTTCGTATAATGTTGCCAATGTGCTGTTCTATAATCGGAGAACCTCCATTCCAACTTTCCTTTGCTTTTGCTTTTCTTAGATATACGACATTTCAGACAAATGCATCACTATCCAGTATCGAGTGTAAACTGGTTTAAATCTTATATTTACAAAGCATGTGATAAACACACTGTTGATTCAATGATTTAAATTTTTGTTATATTGTTGTTCCGAAGCTCTCGAAAATTGAGCTAGCTAGATCTGCAACACTGGTTAAAAATCTGCCATAATGCGTGTGTGTCTTTCCATTCAAATAATTCTTTCGGGGTAGCCCACTATGTCATATGAAAATAAGTTATCCAAAAATGATATCTATGAATAGAAGAATTAAATGGTCACATATATATTTCACGCTAGTATCAAGACCAGATACATTTAAGATCGTAAACAAGAGATTATGTTTACTTCACTAAGTTCAAAATCAAGCACTAGATTAGATTTTTTTGGGTGGCTATTTCTAGGTATTCTTTTTGGTTACCCTATTCCACTGCGACCTTAACATACCTATTGTAGCTTGCTAAGTTCTGCTGTTCTGATTTCTGGGGTATATTATCCAGTCTGATTCTTTTCAAAAGGTCTAATAACAACTTGTAGAGTTTTTCTACAATCATGACTTGAGCACAAAAACGAAACTTGCAGTGTACCGAGCAATAATAATCTCCACCATGTTATATGGAAGCGATACCTGATGGGTTCCGTACTGCCGGCACATGAATGCATTGCACCAAACCTTAGACAACTGTTAAGAATCAAATGGTACCACCATGTCTCAAACGTATCGGTTCTTGAAAAAGCTAGCTGTGAGAGCGCTGAAGTCATGATTACTAAATCCGGCTTAAGGCGGGTTGGTCACGTATGCAGGGTACAGGAAAATCGTTAACTAAAATCTCTTCTTTACGGTGAGCTTGAAGAGTGTAAAAGGACAACTCAAAAGGTACAAGGATATTTTCCACGAAAACTTGGATAAGCATGCCAAATCATTGGGAGGAAGCAGCGCACAATAGAACATAATGGAGAAGAATCAATCAGTTAACAGCGACAACCAAAAAGTAAAGGGGCAACAAAGCAATGAGATTTTTGAATGTTGGGAGTGCGGAAGAGAGATAACGTCACGTATCGGGCTTTTCAGTCACAGAAAAGCTCATGAAAGAAAACGCTTTGCGTAACTATCTTCTGATGCGTGTCAAATACTCATCACCGAGTAATGGCAGTAGTAGTAGTAGTAGTAGTAGTATTTACCACGTATTATTTAAACTGAAGAGATAAATTCAGAAGTTATTATAATAACTATAAAAAATACTAGCCTCAAATTTTACACATCTTCTGGAATGTTTAGTTATTTATCTAATTAAACTAAGTTAAAACATAATATTCTTTTGATACCCATTTAGCTTTCTATACATTCTCAGGAATTAAATTTTATAATCAAAATACATAGAGTTTTATCAAATACTTACTGGCTAACGGTATTTTGAAGATTAGATGCTATCGTTGTGTCATCTGCCTCAAACCAAAATTCGCCAGCGCCCAGATTACATGAACGCCCCACCTGAAAACAAAATATACGACTCAGTCTAAATGACATTAAAATCAATTGAAATCAACGGTTTTTGGCTTAGGTATATTAGAAACATAATTGAATCGCACAGTTATTTGTACTTGATACGAATCACAGCCTGTTCATAACCAGCCTGTCGACTTATGCAAGCGTATCTACCTAGATATTTGTGAATCTTATGTAATATGTATTACAAGTATGACTATAATAAAAAAAAGTAAAATCAAATTCAAATGTCAAAAAATTGGAACGTCAAACAGAACTCTTAAAAATGGTGGTTCATGATGTCGATCACGTCTATAATGCCATGGATTGCATTATACCTCTCCCTTATCTTTTTATTCAAAGGTATAAGTACACAATATTTTACTCTGTACATTTTGAATTATTTCATTTTTTAGATCTCCAAGACATAGTTAAAACATATAATTTCACGTCTATTAGAAAAGGTTTCTTAATAATACGGAAATAAAGCTCTATTTTTTGTACCTACCTCCAGAAAAAAGAAGTTTTTGAGATTCCCACAGCTGCGTACGCTTGACAGCGGCAATTCAAGGACGGTAGGGATCGGGACGTCGATTTTGACCAGCGTGACAGTCTTGTCAGTTAAGCACAGTCTATAGGTACCTGTCCTGCTCGCCCCTAAGCCTCTGGCACACAGATTTACTTCCCACACGTATTCTGAAAAGAAAGAGAACAAATTAAGTAAAAATTGAGGAAAAATATACATATACAGCTTACACTTAGGGTTTTTCAAACCGGGACCCCGTGTATCTATCCCCGAAATACCGATATTAAATCCCGGGATCCCGGAAATCTCGAAAAATTTAAACGGCCAATCTAAAATGATTCGACTTTATACACTTTCAAACATCATATTTTATTTGTACCAAGAACGTCAATATCTAACAGTTATAGTCTTGGTGAGTCAACAGGGTGAGTCTTAATTAAGTGCAAATATTTTTAGGGGCGGTATATTTCGATCCCAAAAACACGTCTATGAGTTTCTTTTCGCAAGAAAACTTAAATTTGGTATTAATTTTTTCAACAAAAAGTACTGGGCTATTTTGAACTTATTTGAATTTGACTCACCCTGTACCTACTTTCATGTTTGCTATATTTTAGTTTTGCAACAAGAATTGTATTTTTTTTAACTTACCAAATATGAATGTTACTTTGTTTTGTCTATTTTAATAAAGCCCTTTTCTGATTTTATTTTTGATATATAGTATGTAGCTGCATTTTATTAAGTATTTATTTAGATTAAATTTCTCATTCTGATCGTCAATCCCGGGATCCCGTGATTATGTATTCTTATCCCGGGATTTCAAAACGGAATCCCGATCTCGAAATCGGAACCCTACTTACACTGTTCTTTAGTCATTTACATATACAAGGTGGTCCGAATTGTATATGGGAAACTTTTGCATATTCTGCCGATAAAAATATGTAAAAAAGTTCGACATAATCCCTAATGCTTCATTTCCTAAATGCTTCATTTCGGAGATACAGGGTGTAAAAAATGTAGAAATTTAATTTTGATTTCGATTTTTTCCAAATAATTTCTGAACTATATTCGATATTTGGATGAAAATTGGTGTCTGGTTATTTTTTGGCATAAAAAAAATTAATGTCGATGTCAATACGGGTCCTATTTGTAAGGGGCACCACCTACATGTTTTAATTGTTTTGACGCATAATAATTTTTCGTCCGTATCTGTATAAAAAAACTACTTAGTAAAAAATGTACATTTCCGTCATTTTTTACGTAAAAAAGTCTCTTGGTAAAACTTGCTACGAGAAACCGTTATTAAGATATTTGGAATGGAAATTTTCAATACATGTCATTATTGACAAAAAATAAACATGTTGACTAGATAGTTTGACTGAAATGATAAACCTGGGAACTTTTTTTAAATCATTCTAAACAAATTATGATGAAACAATTTCTGGTGAACCTTGGCATATCATTTTGCAACAATATCTGGTGAACCTTGGCAATTACGCACTTTGGCATAATAACTAGTGATGGGATAACTCGAGCGAAAATTCGCTCGAGTACTCGATTATTAAAATAACCGACAACGCTCGATTATGAACGAGCGATGCAAGTGACGAGTTACAAGCGACGAACACAAGCTATCCTAGAATGAAATAAATTGAAATCCGATTTTAATGTGACATACTCGATAAAAAGCCGAGCGAATTTTGTACATACATTGCAGGTAGCAAATTTATACGACGCCGTATATATATTTATCAGTTGCGTATCTGAGGGACAAAATTTTACAACCTATATCGACAAACTTTGACATAAACTAAAAATAGACTTTGAAATAAACTAAATCAAGCGATCAAGCGAATCGCTTGTTGCTTGCTACTTGCCATTCATCATCGAAAGAATATGTGCCCTGCGCACGCAACTTACTGCTTGGCGCTTGGCGTTAACGAGTACTTACAACAAGCGACGACGGTCGAAAAACCGTATTTTTAAATACGAGTGATATTTCGGTAAAGCGATCACTCGGTTATTGCAATCGCTTGAGTACTCGATTATTAAAATTAATCGGTTTTTCCCATCGTATCACTAACAATGACATTTGAAATATATCATTTATCTAGTCTACATGTTCAATTTTTGTTAATGATGACATGTATTGCGACCTTTTTTACGTAAAAAACGGCAGAATGTATATTTTTTCACTCGGCATTTTTATACAAGTACGGACGAAGAGTTATTTGTCTTCAAATCAATTAAAAACACAAGTAGGATTCATACTGACATCGAACTCAAATTTCTCGTGTCATAAATTTCATCCAAATATCGAAGTAAGTTTTTGAAAAAAAAAATCGAAATAAAAATGAAACTTCTACACCCTATATCTCCGAAACGAAGCATTTTAAGACATAAATTTATGCGAACTTTAATACTTTTTTATCTGCAGAATAGTTTATTGAAGTCTAGACTGCGAATGTTGATCTAGTCTAGACTGCGAATTGCGCTGGGCACCCTGGTGTGATCTAAAATCGCAGTGTGGGAGCTGTGATCGTAACTGCAGTAATATTTATTGCCTAAAAATTAATCCGAAGTCGGCAGATAGATGTTTCAATCGCAAAGCATGCAGATTCAAATCGCCTCAGTTAAATCTCAATTTGCGACTTTCTGCTCATCTCTAATTTAAAGCAAGTCTGGTATATTTTTTATACAATTAAAATATTTACACTATAGTATGTTCTATATTGAAGGACTTTTCTCTCTTTGATATTTTGATTATTTATTTATAGCTTTTCAATTACGCTGTAATATCTGTTATTAATATTTTAATAAAATTACGCACTCGCAATATTTACAAAATTTATTTTAATTATGGATTAATTAGTGAATGTTTTCTCTCAATTATTTTGTATTTCCAACGATTCCTTTTATGGAATATGACATAATTTTAATTAATTATTAAATGTAATATTTAATTTTTATACAAATCACACCCAAGGCTAGACTATGATTGAAACATTAAATTTTACTTTAGAAAATTATTATTATACATAATATATTATTTCATTTTAGGTTAATATATTATGCATATTTGGACAATTTTAAAAACCGATTAGTGTTAGAAATTAGTGATGAAAAGAATATCAATTTTTAAGCCCCATATTCACTATTCGTCAATTTTGCGGTATTAAAAGCGGAAATTAAAAGTATAATATTTATTAGTAAATAGAGTGTTTTCAATATTGAGTTGAAAATTCCACTTTTCTCAAGTTTTTAACGTATCAGGTTAAATATAAACCAAGGAAAAAACAAACCTTGTCCTTAATAGCATCGACTAAAATAAACACTTTCTGTTGGAATACAGACAGCAAAGTTGATTACTATCGGTATTAAACATGTCTATTATAAATTACAAGGTAACTATCATAGACCAGATATTTTGTCGGAAAATTTAACTTGTTGCAACAACGATAAACACTATTTTCTCTATTTACTAAAATTTTAGAAAGTTGAAAACGGTTTTGACTGATCAGTGTTCTATCAGTTAGTTATATGACAAACATTACTTTATAATTAATTAAAACTCAGGGATGAAATGTTTAGTTTAAATTCTTTGTTATACGGGCATCTCCTGCTCTGGGTGCTAGCCCACCAAGGTATAGAAAGTAATGAAAAAGGAAACAATTTAGCTAGAAAAGTAGCAAATATTCTCCACTAACTGGACTAAAACCGTTCTGCTTCCTAAGTGAAAACCAACTTACAACAGAACTCAAGAATCTGAAGATTCCATCCTTAAACTGGAATGTGAATCTCCCAACGGTCTAAGATACTCGAAGAAATTTCAAAGGACTTGCAACCGAGAAAAATAATTTTTTTATTGATTTAAATAAGAACAATTTTCGTATTGTCACGGGGTAAAAGGACACTTTCTCAACAATGAACACCTCAGCAGATTTAAGCTAAGAAACAAAACGGCGAATGCAGAGCTGTTGGGAAAATGTGGAAATACCAGTACACATCATCACGGAGTGCGTCGCGACGACAACCGACAACCATTCGTGCCATAAACTTTGGTTACGACTGGATATCGGAGATAGAAAACTAACCTCTGTAAAACCGTCTCAGAAACTGGTTTCTGTCAAAGCCCTGAGACTGTATGATGAGTTATAACTCATGAAAGGGGAAAACAATAGATTTATAAAGTTACGGTGATTAACTTCGCCCCTCCTATAGAATCTACAATCTATATAAATATGCTTTAGTTTGGTTTGGAAGGGAGACAATTTTTTTTGAAAGTTTTGCAAAAGGTTGTAATAAAAACTTGTACAATTTCATGTAAGTTGATTTGACTTTCTAATGTCTATATTTTTAACTGAGTATCACATTTGTTAATTTAAAAAATCTAATCAAGAATCAATTTTTTTTACTTCATCACAGATTCAAATTTCAATCAATAGTTTGGAATTTTCGGGAAATTTTGGTTTTTAAATAGTGCTGACGACATTGTTACGGGAAACGTCATCATAGTAGGTAGAACAAAAACGTAAACAAGCATGTAAAAATCAGTGTCATGTATTTTTTAACGGTGCCTTGACGTATTTGCTAACCCAAATTCTAAATTACATCAGCGTATACATATGCGTATGTGCGAGTATGTGTGAGAACCGCGAAAAAAATATTATTGGTCGGCCTTTCGCTTATTTTCAAGAAGTAGAGCTGAGTACGAAAGAGAATGTTAAACTGTTATCAATTACCAGTTAGTCTATAAGCAAAAGCCACTAAGTGCTAAATGGGTGATAATCCGCAAATTTTATTATTGAAAACTACTTATTATATATATTTATGCTTGTAGTTCTTCAGGACTATTGTCACTTAGGACTCATCCTAATTAGGATGTCATCAGCGAATCTTAGATGGATGATAAGATACTCCTCATCTATTTTTAATCCTTTGTAGGTCCAATCCAACTGACGAAGGATTTCTTCTAATGTTGCTGTAAACAGCTTTGGGGATATCACCTCTCCTTGTCGTACCCATATATCATTTTTATTTATAAAAGGTTAGAATTTAAGTTAAAAAGTAATTTTTAAGAGTAAGACGTAAATTTGGAGATATGTAAAGATTGACAACAATTTAAGAGGAGAATACGAAATGATGTATGATAAATATTTGTTTATGTCAAAAA